CTGAATACTTTTAAACAATAAAAACAATCATAAGTTATAAAATTAAAACTTATTCATATCATATTTTATCTTGTTTACAATCATTAACAAAATAATCTTACAAATAATAATTAATATATTATTATATATTAATAAATAATATACTAATAATAATTAATAATTATTAATATGAATATTTATCAAAGATTATTAAAGTTATTAATTAATATTAATATTTTAAAGAGATATTTATCAATTTTTATAGATATAATGATGATTCTTAATGAATATCTCTCCAAAAATTTTCTAATATATTCATGAAAATCTAACTAAATATTAATAAAGTTTATATTTTTTGAATAAAATAATATAAATTATTAAGAAATTAATTATTAAAATTTGTATATTTTTTCTGATTTTAAAGTAATTAGATACTTTTAACTAGAAAATATAATTTATTATATAAGAAATCTCTGTAATTATTAAATAAACAAGAAATAAAAATAAAATTTAAGAAATTAACTAATACTTTAATATATTATTATTCTTTATCTTATTATTTTAATTTATTTTAAATTTGATTCTAACTTACTTAACTAATAAAAGTTATTTTTTTATAATATTATTATTCATACTTTATAATTATAATTACTTATTCAATTAGTAAACTTTTTTTATTAAATAATTTTAAAAAAAGCTTAATCAAAAAGATTAATTAATAATAATTAGTTTAATTATCAAATAAATTTTTTTTAAAAATAATTTTGACAAATATTTATAATAAAAGTATTGTCATTTACTTATTGTAAACTTGTTATATATTTTATCAAAAATAATAAAAAAATCAATTATATTTTATCATTATTTTCTTTTTGTTTATTTTCTCAGATGCACTGGGTCTTCGGAATTCAAAAATATTTGGAGTTAAAATTTTATTAGCTCCTTATGATGGCAACATTAATATTTTTTTTTAGGTTTATTTTAACAAAATTTCAAATTTTCTAATTAGGATTCTGAAATTTTCATTACATCCGTTAGAGCCTGAGTATATGTAAAATTGCCTTAATCAATAGTCCAAGACATCAGATTTCTCATAATATTATTAGCTTTGAAATGAATACAAGAACCAGGTACATTTAATCGATGTTAGAGGCATTAGAGTTTCTTTTTCGTATAACTTAAGTCTATTCTCTATTCCAAATGACGGTGTAAATTCTAATTTTTTTATTTCAGAAACATTTCCCAATAAATAACTACATGCCTGAACAATGGAGACTCGTATCTTTCTTTGAAATTGGCTATTTCTTGGATTAATCTGCTGTAATGCAAATTTTGCAATCGTGTCTTCTGGTATATATATTGAACATTCATATTGTTTATATGTTCAAGAACATGTTCCATTACCAGCGACCATTACATATATTATCACCTCATTGCTGGACACTCAGATAATACAACACGCTTTTTTTATCGTTCTACATATCCGGCCAACAAACCAGCCAAAGAATAAACTATTCCGTAGATGTATGCTAGCAGCCTCATCTTGAACTGTAAATTTTAATTAAATTTGTCGAGAATATCACCGACTATTTAGAAAAATATGAATCATGCGAAGAACATTAGCTTGTCGAGTGCAGTTATCAGCTGGTAGTTTTTAAGTTTCTCGTAAGTCAAAAGAATGTGCGCGCGAGAGAATTGTAATATATTTGCGAATGGAGGTTTTCCTTTGTTAAAAGGCCTGAGTATTAAAACATGCGAAAAATTCTAGTAAACATTGTCGAAGCATATTTATAACATGGAAAGATCATTATTCTTTAGAAATGAAGCTATTGATTTAATAAAAAATGTGCTTCTAACATTAATTTGGAACTTTGAGATCTAATAACTAATGAATTTGATTGAAAATTATTATTGTAGTTTTCAGAATTTTCTGATATTCGGCGTTTAGTGAACCGCTTGTATGCACAATACCGATTCTTTGGCATTATGAAGAGTTCTTCATTATCGAAACGTTTAGATTTTGGACGGAATCGCTACAGTCAAAGTTCTTTACAACGACCGCATTGGCCTAAAAATTTTGGGCCGATAATAGTGCTTTTACTAGTAAATCCGGTGTATAGATAATTTTTTACATATGTAATTAGGAATGTGGTTTTGATAAAAGCCGAGTCTAGTATGTATGGTGCCGTTGTAAAGGGCTTTGTATGTTTCAATATGGTCATGGAATAATTAATATCTTTTAAGAGATTCAGACATATTTCAGTCAAGACTAGCACTGTTCCTACCAAACTATTAACCTTCGCCGAAACCCTAAATTATAAATGCTTATTTAATAGTATTCGAGATATCTATAATGCTATAAATAGCTTGCAAAAATTTAGACCATCTTTAGTATAAATGCTTCTTTCAATAAAATATGATATCTCAAAACGTCACAAGGGAACAAAATCACTTTCAAAATAAAAATTGAAAAAATAATGGGAAAAATCTATGGCATCCATATATAAAGACGAATCATAAAATAAAACTAGAATGGCCATCATGCTCGAGCTGGAAAGTTGATTGAATCATTTAAAGTCTTTGCTTTTTTTTTTAATTCATTCTGATTTAATTAAATCTATGTGTATATATGAGAATTCCTATAATCGATTCGCGCCAAAAAATGAATTTATTTATTTCTTTATGATTATAGAATTTCATTTATATCATTTCTTTGGATTCGCTTTTTCGTCTTGAAATTCTTTTTCTTTGGATTCGCTTTTTTCGCCTGATTCGCTTTTTTCGTCTGATTCGCTTTTTTCGTCTTGAAATTCTTTTTCTTCTGTCGTACGGGGGATATACCTGGTATTTGAATGGGTGTTTTTGGACGATCTTTTTTTAATTTTTTGATCGGAGTTTCTATTGGACTTTGTAGTGGTATTGATCTTGAAGACGAAGCTATTAAATAAAATTGATATATTATCAATAATAGAAAATATGAGCCTTCTAAATGCAAAGTTTATACTTACATGCGTTTGATCCTGATTCGAATTCATTTAATTTTCTTTTCTTTTTGTCGGTATTATTTTCAGGAAAACCTGTAAGAAAAATCATTTAATTGATAATAATCTAAACTAAGAACAAAGAAAACCGTTAAGTAATACCTGTATCAAAACCATAAGGTTTGAATTGTAGTTTCAGGCCTGCCGGCGGTTCAAGCGGTATCTTTGGTTCCGAAAGAATTTTTAAAGCGGCCTCGGTAGGATCAGGAACATCGTATAATCTTGTGACGGTAAGATGTCGGTCAAATTGCATTGGTTCTGATATAGAGTAGTATTATTAATGATTATATATTTATTTTTGATAGAAGAATAATGAACCTATTATTTAGCAATGGAATTTAATAAAAACCTATGACTAAGTTTCCATTCTTCTTCTGGCTAGGTAATAATAATGATATATCATGTAACTCCTTGCTACCCACAGGTACGATTTCATCTGCTTTTTTAGGTCGTAATGATGCTGCGTAGAGATTGTCCATGGTGTCATCAGAATCTGATGACGATGACGACGAGTCATCTTGTGTTATCTCACTTGGGAGACAATAAATTCCATATTTAGCAGAATCTGAAACATGTTTATGCATTTCTGCCTGGTTTTCTTGTATTGACTCATCGGTTTTAAGCGATTTGGAATCACTTCCGTCGCTTATTTTGTTGTATTCATAAGCTTGATCAAAAGTAGCCACGCGTTTTACTTTATTGAAATTTTGTGGCGGCATTTTAAATGTCATACCATCCAGCTTTGAATTTTCAATCTTTATTATTTTTATTTGTTATAAGCATTAGTGTTGTTTGATACTTTGATGAGTTCAAGTATCATCTCAAAACAAAACAAAGTACCGTATTAGGAACACGAATAATCCATAACTCCTTCGAGTCATCTTTTCTTTGTTTCCTTAGTTGTTTAATGTCGAATTTTAAATGATTTGAATTTGAGACTTGTTTGAAACTAAGCGGAATCTCATGCGTTTCCTCCATAATGTAAAAGAATAATATCCTCTGGGAAAAATATATGTATAGACTAGTCTCGATATAAAATTTTTAAACTTGAACACAAGTACGATCACGATGCATAAATGAAGTTACACAATCTGTCAATTTTTTTCTGTCACCATTAATTTCAAAGCTTTATAAATAGACCTAACTCAAATTTTTTTGAGCGTGTCTTTTCAGTTATTTTCGTTAATAGTTACGCGTTGTCGAATACTGAAATTTGAATTAGCGAAGGGGGGAATCAGTGTACTATTGTGAGATTCTGATATTTTGAAAATTTATAAAATGACGTCCAATATGCTATTAGCAGAGCCAGTTGAAGAGCAAACAAGCTGGGAAGAGGTAATTTCCAAAAATTTCCGTTCATATTGTTAGCTAAAATGCTGCGCCACATTATATACATTATATACTGCGCCGATTAGTGGATCGGTAATAGTTATTTCGACGATATTTATCGCCATCTATTACGATGGATTAATCTTGATTAATCTTAACATTTTCTTAAAAAACCAAAGAAAACATTATATCTAATTATATATTAGTTATCGATAAATGTCTAAAAATCAACATCGCACTATGCTAATAAATTATATTTTTTTATATAGAGTATGCGAATGGGATATCTCAACAATTACCAACATCTATTGAATAAAAATGAAATACAAATAAACAGTGCTTTAGTATGTGATTAATCGTTTTGTTTTGATAATATTATTTGGTCACGTGACATTTTCCATTGACAAAAAATCTTGATAGAATGATACAAGAGAGCATACCATGTTGATGCACGGAATCTTGTACGTGATATTTATCGAGAACGATAATTCGCAATTGGACAAGGTATATGAAAATATATATATGAATATTGAAAATTATAGATTTAAATTATCCTGATCAAGGAAGGTATACTCAAATATTTTCTACATTTTAGCATTTGAATAGACTGATAGTTTGTGGTACATTACAGATACCTCTGGAGACTTTAATTGAAATGTCATCGCAAGGAAGAAAATTCAAGTTGTATACACCGAGGACAATACATCGTGTAAGTTAATGAAATCTTTTTTGTTTATGGGTTTTTTTAATTTTTTTTTTATACAAATATTGTATATTAATCTTTTTAGATGCTATGGCTTATATGGAAATTTATTTCCATGGGAGTGAAGGGAACAGATAGTATAAACATGGAGTTAGTATGTGAAAACATGCTACGACAAATACGAGGTAAGCATTAAAAATGGTAAAAAAAATTTATCTTTTCTGAACTCTATACCTATTATATATAATTTTTTCAAAAAACATAGGAAGTGATAATAGCGAGATCAATCTTTTTATGTGTGAGCAACTTGTAGATATATTCTCTAGAGATTCCAGCATGTAAGTAACCAATCAGATATTTTTTGAATTATATTTAATATATTTATTTTCTCATAATTATCTGTTTCCTTTTTAGGAGTTTTCTATCCAGTCACCAAAGATTGGTTGCATTGGTGATATTTACATTTTTACGGAAATTAAGAGATCATTTCGGTAGTGAATATCATAATCTTGCGAATAAAGAGGCTGAGTTATGCGAAAAATTGTTAAAAACTCAGGTATTTACATTAATTTAAAGTAAAAGTTCTTTACATTATTTAACATGTCTTTTATTTTCTATATCATAAAGCCGATTTGTCATTATATTGGACGTGATTTGATCCGTTTACTTATGGATGTTGCCAAACATCCTAGGATTCGTGTAGTATTGAACGAATTGGTTCATAATCCGGCTAAATTTCCAGGATATGAAGGTACGAAATTTATTTGTATCTTTAATTATAAATTGGATACATTAAAAAATGTTTTGATTTGACATTTTATAGGCCTAACGGCATTGTTATGCACGCCCACCCCCAGTTTTCTAATAAAAAGTCGAATTACTTTCTTTATGGAAGAACTCTTAAAAGAAATTTTTCATGTAAATAATCATGTTTTTGCTTTTTTTTGTATTTTAAGCTATACTTGTGATTCTAAAATATTTTCACTTATAGACTGAAAATCAAAAACACGCGAGGAAATTCAACTGGTTTCGCAACGAATTTCTCTATGGATCAGAATATCTTGTAGTGGATGTGATTCGGTTTATATGCGCCTGTATACATCCTACTAACGAAATGCTTCGCTCAAATCTCGTTAAGCGATGGTCAATAATTACAGAGTTGATTAAACTTGTACATCAAGATTGTACGATTGCGTCACAAGCACGATTAGCTTTATTTTTTGATTGGCTGTGTTGGACAAAAACAGATAATATAATGAACATTGAACCGGGAATCCTAGTAATATTGGAAAACATTACGGTTCAGTCCATGATCACCAATAGTTTGATCGAGTATTTGCATTTCCAGGTGAATCATTTCTGTAATATACAAGGATATAGAACTCGTAGACATGTAGAAGATGCTATGGATACGGTATTTAATTTGGGTGTTGTAGTGTAAGTGACTATTAAATATGGAATTTCGAATTTTTTGATATATTAACTAATAATTAATTGAGATTTATTTTTTTATTAGACCAGAAGCTCTGAATTTAGCCATTAATTCTGGATACTTGGATTCATTTACCAAAAGTTACATTATTGGATTGTGGGGTAATCATGTCAGTCAAGCACTTAAAGATGCTAACCGTAATCAAGCTATAGTCCACCAGCAGCAGCAGCAACGAAGACCTTCTTTGAGCATTCAAACTTCGAACAATCAAGTACCCACACTAAATAAACGAAGACTTTCGATAAGTAACCAACCTGAGACTAGCTCAACAGCTCTTAAAACACCCAAAATTACCGATACTCCCGTTATTACCGTACCTTTATCAATAACCGCTGCATCTCCATTAAATTCGGCACAAATTCCTCCTTTCTCGTCTAACCAGCTTGCTGAAATTAAAGAAGAACCAACAAAATTGGAAGTCTCCACCAAAGAAACTGGCACTCGAGATGCGCAAAGAATCGGCGCAAATAATGTATCTCAAAGTTTTGGTAAAATATACTTATTTTATTATGTTGCTATTATTTGTTTTTTTTAAGTTGAACATAATATATTAGTTATGTCATGATCTTTCTTGCATTTTTAATCTATTTATTTCTGCGATATAGTTATTATTTTCTATATTATAATATAATCATTTTATTGCCATGGTATATTAACATTTTTTTATTTGATAAATTCCAAATAGATGTCTTGAATAGGCATGTTGAATCGAATGGTCATAATAATATTAAGCAAGAGACCGAAAATATCTTGGTAAATTCACAAAAACAAGATAAAACAGTTATCTCAAATTTCGCATCTCAATCACCAGTTGGACCAACTTCTGCATTAAACTCCCCGTTTCCAATGTCTACTGGATTAAGCTCTTCCCTTCCTACATCTATCTTATCAAGCGCTCCAAATCAAGCATCTAAAGGCGAGAACCGGTTTTGGCTTTACGGAAAAAAACTCGATATATTTGATCAGACCGAAGATCCGATTGAGGCAGAAAAATTGCTTTTAGCAATTTTTGGAGCTATGGAACGGCAAAGCATCGTATGTAATATTTAATATAATATTTTCAATAAGTATTTCAGAATAACTAATATTATCTTCTCATATATAAATTTTGCTAATTAGGAAGCGTTTAGTTCTGTTGGCGATCGTATTGCACCCAACATCCGTAAATTCCTTGACACTTCAAATCTGTTTGATGTTGTGCTGAAAAGTTACTGGGAGTCCCAAGAATCGGAAAACGCTGGTAACATAATGAGGATATCTGAATTAATTATAAAGGTGGGCGAAATTGATTTGGCTCAAGATATTGTTCGTACTAGACTTTTGTTATCGGGCTTAAGGTGATTATATTAAAAAATGATAAATTTTGGCATTTTTATGGGAGTATTTGGAACTTAATTTTATTCTTTGGAACTCATAGTCGAATAGAACAGAATCCCCCTAGTTTTGCTCATAATTTATTGTCAGTTTACAAAAATTTTGTGGAAAAGCAGATGCAATTCCATAAAGCTAGTGACGAGGACGACAAGCTGCAAGAAATTAAAAGGAGAATCCTGCATGATCTGATGGTTTGAATTATTTTACTTAACTGTTTATATAGTGATTTCTGGAGGAATTTTTTAATAATTAATGCCTTTTATTTTTTATTGCTATAGATCCTACAGAAAAAGCATGTGGATATTTTTCTTTCTATGTGGCTGTCAATTTTAAAAGAATTGCGAGAATATCTAGTGGGTGATGTGGATTTTATTTATTTGACTATTTCTAGAATAAGTCCTGCTTTGGTGAGAGAAACATCTATTGTTTTTTGTTTTTTTTTCCTTTATTAATTCTAAAAATTTTTCAAAATCAGGCTTTATCTATTCAAACAAATCTTCTTCTGAACAAAATTCAGCTTTTTGGAAAATGTGATCTCGACGAATTGCTTGGTATGTCTATTTTTTTTTTAACTATTATTTTGAATTAAATTGTTAGGTCATTTATTAATATATATATATATATAATAGGCTATGTGTTTTCATGGTCAGAATATGACCAAGGGATCTTTTTCCAGTTGCTTAATGCAGAGATAGGAGGGCAATTTGAGAAAATTGTGCAAATTGTGGAAAATTCAACCGTTTTAAGAGGAATAGATGTAACAGGTTTGTCTATTAAATATACGAAAATTTTATTGGCGATGAAAATATTGATTCTTTTTGGTTTTCCCAGATTTTCCGCAAGCAATGAACGGAATACTGAACTTACTAGGATCCGTTCGTCCTTCGGAACGATTTTTCCCTCTGTTCTTTAACCTACTCGAAAATCAAGACCATAATTCAAATGCAAACGTCAATTTCGTGGCAATAATATTTGAACAATGGCGTCGAATATTTTCTAACGAGTTTATGGAATTGTTGAAGGAAATCATTGAAAAACTCTCTGATAAGGTGACGGAATCACAGGAGAAGCAGAAAAAAGGACAATCATCGAACGAAAATACTGTTGCAGAAGCGGCGGGGCTATTGTCGGTCATGAAAGCTTGGTGGGCGAAAGAACATGCTGATGCTGAAACAAGTAAGAACTCTTTATGTGAATTTCTATTTGTTGCTAACAATTAAATTGATGATGTTATATATTTTCAAAGTTCGGTTTATAAGAAGTAAAAGAATCCTTTCGAATCTTGTGGCGCTTGCGTCCAAAATGCCTTCGCAAGAGGATTATCCGCTAGAATGGTGGAACGAAAATTATAGCGATGAACAATCAAATGTGCTATCAGAGCGAGCAAACGGTAAGAAAGTTATATTTATATTTATATAATTAAAAATATATTAAACACATTTTCCCTCCCACAGAACCTCCAAACCAAACGACGAAAATTACTAAAACTCGTAATCTTCGTGCTTCGAAGTCTGCAAAAAAAGCATCATCAACGAATGAGCATAGTGAAGACATGGATCCTCATGATGACAATGACAATGATGACCAGGAAGAAGAAAAGGAGGTGAAATCAACATCTAGACGCACAACACGAGCTGCAGCAAAAAAGAAATCAACATCCACGACAAAAAGAAAAACAACGTCACGACGTAAAGTGGCCAGTAGTATAACCACTACTACTGAATCCGAAGAAGACGAGAATAATGAAGATGACGAAGATAATGAAGACGAAGATAATTACATTGATGAAGAAAAAGAAACAGAAATAAAACAGCCTCAAAGAAAACGCACTACCAGATCCCAAGCGAAACAAGAAAAAGCTAAAACAACAAGGGCAAAAGCATCAGCACCCGTCAGGAGATCTAAAAAAACTATTGAACAAACATCATCATCCTCTTCCTCAGCAAGTTCATCTGAAGAGCAAGAAGCAAACAAGGATGACTCGGAGGACGAAAATGAAAAAGAGGAAAACGAGATTAATGGAAAAAGTAAGAAATCCACATCATCATACAATAATCGCTCCAAGACATTACAAACTCGTAGTGGTAAGAGGATAACCAGACCATCGGCAGTATCTACATCGACTACTACAACCTCACGTCGAAATAATACTACACATCATAATAGTAATAATAATGCTGGGAGCTCGTCAAGGACGGGAACCAATGGTAATAAAAAGAAGAGGATCATTGAAGACATAGACGAAGATCAAGCAGTGTGAGCTCGTGATCTCTTCAAGTTGTTAAGTATTTAATTTGAAATTCATTCATTGTACATTTCTCGTATCTGTGTATATAAATTTTTTAAGCAGTCTTTTCACATCACATTTCGAGAAGAGTGTGTACGGTTATATGACAATTACCTTGTAAATAATTTTAGACTTTGATTCAATGTATATTCAATTTTAATAATTTTGATGTTACTATAATTAGAATTAACAATAATCATTCATGCACATAATTTATTTTACATACACATTTTCTGTGTCATCCCGTGCGTTCTAAATGTTCTGATCGGAATAGTTATACAGAAGAAACATTCCGTAATTGGAATCTAATAATCTAATAAAGCACATCATATCCGTAATCGGAATGATCAATGTCTTTTCTCGAGAAATTTTTGCAAGATAATGGCGAAAGAAAAACTTATTATTATTATTATTAAATGAAAAAATCGAAAAACCAAGATGAAAATGTAGGATAAAAAAATTATTCCACATAAAATCTCAATTAATTAACCACAGCATTCTTCAACACAGCAACATAAACACGCACCGAGGGCACTTAATTTACAAAAAAAAAGAAAATTAGCTAGTGTTAAAATTAAAATTTTCTTGATAAAAATTATCTAAAATTTTTTACCATCCTAAACATAAACTATTATCATCCTTCTTTTGTCGTGGTGGCTCTTGAACTATAATTGTTTGTGGTGGTGGTGCGTTTTCTTTGAGGCTGTTTTATTTCTGTTTCTTTTTCTATATCATAAAGCCGATTTGTCATTATATTGGACGTGATTTGATCCGTTTACTTATGGATGTTGCCAAACATCCTAGGATTCGTGTAGTATTGAACGAATTGGTTCATAATCCGGCTAAATTTCCAGGATATGAAGGTACGAAATTTATTTGTATCTTTAATTATAAATTGGATACATTAAAAAATGTTTTGATTTGACATTTTATAGGCCTAACGGCATTGTTATGCACGCCCACCCCCAGTTTTCTAATAAAAAGTCGAATTACTTTCTTTATGGAAGAACTCTTAAAAGAAATTTTTCATGTAAATAATCATGTTTTTGCTTTTTTTTGTATTTTAAGCTATACTTGTGATTCTAAAATATTTTCACTTATAGACTGAAAATCAAAAACACGCGAGGAAATTCAACTGGTTTCGCAACGAATTTCTCTATGGATCAGAATATCTTGTAGTGGATGTGATTCGGTTTATATGCGCCTGTATACATCCTACTAACGAAATGCTTCGCTCAAATCTCGTTAAGCGATGGTCAATAATTACAGAGTTGATTAAACTTGTACATCAAGATTGTACGATTGCGTCACAAGCACGATTAGCTTTATTTTTTGATTGGCTGTGTTGGACAAAAACAGATAATATAATGAACATTGAACCGGGAATCCTAGTAATATTGGAAAACATTACGGTTCAGTCCATGATCACCAATAGTTTGATCGAGTATTTGCATTTCCAGGTGAATCATTTCTGTAATATACAAGGATATAGAACTCGTAGACATGTAGAAGATGCTATGGATACGGTATTTAATTTGGGTGTTGTAGTGTAAGTGACTATTAAATATGGAATTTCGAATTTTTTGATATATTAACTAATAATTAATTGAGATTTATTTTTTTATTAGACCAGAAGCTCTGAATTTAGCCATTAATTCTGGATACTTGGATTCATTTACCAAAAGTTACATTATTGGATTGTGGGGTAATCATGTCAGTCAAGCACTTAAAGATGCTAACCGTAATCAAGCTATAGTCCACCAGCAGCAGCAGCAACGAAGACCTTCTTTGAGCATTCAAACTTCGAACAATCAAGTACCCACACTAAATAAACGAAGACTTTCGATAAGTAACCAACCTGAGACTAGCTCAACAGCTCTTAAAACACCCAAAATTACCGATACTCCCGTTATTACCGTACCTTTATCAATAACCGCTGCATCTCCATTAAATTCGGCACAAATTCCTCCTTTCTCGTCTAACCAGCTTGCTGAAATTAAAGAAGAACCAACAAAATTGGAAGTCTCCACCAAAGAAACTGGCACTCGAGATGCGCAAAGAATCGGCGCAAATAATGTATCTCAAAGTTTTGGTAAAATATACTTATTTTATTATGTTGCTATTATTTGTTTTTTTTAAGTTGAACATAATATATTAGTTATGTCATGATCTTTCTTGCATTTTTAATCTATTTATTTCTGCGATATAGTTATTATTTTCTATATTATAATATAATCATTTTATTGCCATGGTATATTAACATTTTTTTATTTGATAAATTCCAAATAGATGTCTTGAATAGGCATGTTGAATCGAATGGTCATAATAATATTAAGCAAGAGACCGAAAATATCTTGGTAAATTCACAAAAACAAGATAAAACAGTTATCTCAAATTTCGCATCTCAATCACCAGTTGGACCAACTTCTGCATTAAACTCCCCGTTTCCAATGTCTACTGGATTAAGCTCTTCCCTTCCTACATCTATCTTATCAAGCGCTCCAAATCAAGCATCTAAAGGCGAGAACCGGTTTTGGCTTTACGGAAAAAAACTCGATATATTTGATCAGACCGAAGATCCGATTGAGGCAGAAAAATTGCTTTTAGCAATTTTTGGAGCTATGGAACGGCAAAGCATCGTATGTAATATTTAATATAATATTTTCAATAAGTATTTCAGAATAACTAATATTATCTTCTCATATATAAATTTTGCTAATTAGGAAGCGTTTAGTTCTGTTGGCGATCGTATTGCACCCAACATCCGTAAATTCCTTGACACTTCAAATCTGTTTGATGTTGTGCTGAAAAGTTACTGGGAGTCCCAAGAATCGGAAAACGCTGGTAACATAATGAGGATATCTGAATTAATTATAAAGGTGGGCGAAATTGATTTGGCTCAAGATATTGTTCGTACTAGACTTTTGTTATCGGGCTTAAGGTGATTATATTAAAAAATGATAAATTTTGGCATTTTTATGGGAGTATTTGGAACTTAATTTTATTCTTTGGAACTCATAGTCGAATAGAACAGAATCCCCCTAGTTTTGCTCATAATTTATTGTCAGTTTACAAAAATTTTGTGGAAAAGCAGATGCAATTCCATAAAGCTAGTGACGAGGACGACAAGCTGCAAGAAATTAAAAGGAGAATCCTGCATGATCTGATGGTTTGAATTATTTTACTTAACTGTTTATATAGTGATTTCTGGAGGAATTTTTTAATAATTAATGCCTTTTATTTTTTATTGCTATAGATCCTACAGAAAAAGCATGTGGATATTTTTCTTTCTATGTGGCTGTCAATTTTAAAAGAATTGCGAGAATATCTAGTGGGTGATGTGGATTTTATTTATTTGACTATTTCTAGAATAAGTCCTGCTTTGGTGAGAGAAACATCTATTGTTTTTTGTTTTTTTTTCCTTTATTAATTCTAAAAATTTTTCAAAATCAGGCTTTATCTATTCAAACAAATCTTCTTCTGAACAAAATTCAGCTTTTTGGAAAATGTGATCTCGACGAATTGCTTGGTATGTCTATTTTTTTTTTAACTATTATTTTGAATTAAATTGTTAGGTCATTTATTAATATATATATATATATAATAGGCTATGTGTTTTCATGGTCAGAATATGACCAAGGGATCTTTTTCCAGTTGCTTAATGCAGAGATAGGAGGGCAATTTGAGAAAATTGTGCAAATTGTGGAAAATTCAACCGTTTTAAGAGGAATAGATGTAACAGGTTTGTCTATTAAATATACGAAAATTTTATTGGCGATGAAAATATTGATTCTTTTTGGTTTTCCCAGATTTTCCGCAAGCAATGAACGGAATACTGAACTTACTAGGATCCGTTCGTCCTTCGGAACGATTTTTCCCTCTGTTCTTTAACCTACTCGAAAATCAAGACCATAATTCAAATGCAAACGTCAATTTCGTGGCAATAATATTTGAACAATGGCGTCGAATATTTTCTAACGAGTTTATGGAATTGTTGAAGGAAATCATTGAAAAACTCTCTGATAAGGTGACGGAATCACAGGAGAAGCAGAAAAAAGGACAATCATCGAACGAAAATACTGTTGCAGAAGCGGCGGGGCTATTGTCGGTCATGAAAGCTTGGTGGGCGAAAGAACATGCTGATGCTGAAACAAGTAAGAACTCTTTATGTGAATTTCTATTTGTTGCTAACAATTAAATTGATGATGTTATATATTTTCAAAGTTCGGTTTATAAGAAGTAAAAGAATCCTTTCGAATCTTGTGGCGCTTGCGTCCAAAATGCCTTCGCAAGAGGATTATCCGCTAGAATGGTGGAACGAAAATTATAGCGATGAACAATCAAATGTGCTATCAGAGCGAGCAAACGGTAAGAAAGTTATATTTATATTTATATAATTAAAAATATATTAAACACATTTTCCCTCCCACAGAACCTCCAAACCAAACGACGAAAATTACTAAAACTCGTAATCTTCGTGCTTCGAAGTCTGCAAAAAAAGCATCATCAACGAATGAGCATAGTGAAGACATGGATCCTCATGATGACAATGACAATGATGACCAGGAAGAAGAAAAGGAGGTGAAATCAACATCTAGACGCACAACACGAGCTGCAGCAAAAAAGAAATCAACATCCACGACAAAAAGAAAAACAACGTCACGACGTAAAGTGGCCAGTAGTATAACCACTACTACTGAATCCGAAGAAGACGAGAATAATGAAGATGACGAAGATAATGAAGACGAAGATAATTACATTGATGAAGAAAAAGAAACAGAAATAAAACAGCCTCAAAGAAAACGCACTACCAGATCCCAAGCGAAACAAGAAAAAGCTAAAACAACAAGGGCAAAAGCATCAGCACCCGTCAGGAGATCTAAAAAAACTATTGAACAAACATCATCATCCTCTTCCTCAGCAAGTTCATCTGAAGAGCAAGAAGCAAACAAGGATGACTCGGAGGACGAAAATGAAAAAGAGGAAAACGAGATTAATGGAAAAAGTAAGAAATCCACATCATCATACAATAATCGCTCCAAGACATTACAAACTCGTAGTGGTAAGAGGATAACCAGACCATCGGCAGTATCTACATCGACTACTACAACCTCACGTCGAAATAATACTACACATCATAATAGTAATAATAATGCTGGGAGCTCGTCAAGGACGGGAACCAATGGTAATAAAAAGAAGAGGATCATTGAAGACATAGACGAAGATCAAGCAGTGTGAGCTCGTGATCTCTTCAAGTTGTTAAGTATTTAATTTGAAATTCATTCATTGTACATTTCTCGTATCTGTGTATATAAATTTTTTAAGCAGTCTTTTCACATCACATTTCGAGAAGAGTGTGTACGGTTATATGACAATTACCTTGTAAATAATTTTAGACTTTGATTCAATGTATATTCAATTTTAATAATTTTGATGTTACTATAATTAGAATTAACAATAATCATTCATGCACATAATTTATTTTACATACACATTTTCTGTGTCATCCCGTGCGTTCTAAATGTTCTGATCGGAATAGTTATACAGAAGAAACATTCCGTAATTGGAATCTAATAATCTAATAAAGCACATCATATCCGTAATCGGAATGATCAATGTCTTTTCTCGAGAAATTTTTGCAAGATAATGGCGAAAGAAAAACTTATTATTATTATTATTAAATGAAAAAATCGAAAAACCAAGATGAAAATGTAGGATAAAAAAATTATTCCACATAAAATCTCAATTAATTAACCACAGCATTCTTCAACACAGCAACATAAACACGCACCGAGGGCACTTAATTTACAAAAAAAAAGAAAATTAGCTAGTGTTAAAATTAAAATTTTCTTGATAAAAATTATCTAAAATTTTTTACCATCCTAAACATAAACTATTATCATCCTTCTTTTGTCGTGGTGGCTCTTGAACTATAATTGTTTGTGGTGGTGGTGTTGGTTGATAGTTTCCTATTAACCATTTTCATTTTCATTAATTATTATTTCCAATAAAACCGATAAATGTTAATAAGTAACAAACCAACCTTGTGGCGGTGCTTGCGAAGCATTATAATAGCTTTGATTCTGAGGAGGATACGGTTGTTGTGCTGGATATCCTTGTGGTGGTGGTTGTTGTCCGTAGTATCCTTTATCTTGTTCAGACATTATGTATTTTTGGTAATTAAGGTTGAAACGATTTAATTAACCAGAGACGTTCCTTTTATACATAGAGATCATCATTAGCATCACTCAATTAAGTTTATCATTTAAGAACACGGACCGTTTTTGGTTAATAAAAAAATAACTAGTATAATGAAGTTCTATTTGACAAAGGCTGTACGCCAAGAATTTTGTCATAACTTTGCATATGTACCATTTTCCAGCACATCTATGGTACATCTATGGTTAACCAATCGCCAAGAAAAGAATCCTTGTGATAAATTTAAATGTGTAATGAGTTACTATAAAAAATCCCTTATTACGCCGCATGCCGGCGAAACAACATTAGATTATTTAGTCAAATTAATTAAAAATTTATATATTCTTATCAATTATTATGATTCATGTATTTTTATTAACCTTTAAATAAGAATATTCCAATTTCCATTATGAATATTTGCTTCTATCTTGAGATTCAATAATGATAATTGAATATGAAGCCTATTATTTAATTTAGCAGAACTTAAGAAATCAATATTGTGTAATATATAGTCAAATCTTTCTATAGTTATTGCATTTAAAAAAGCAAAATTGAATAATTATAGAGAGATGTGACTATAGAGAATTTTTTTAATTAATAACTGGAAAACTTAAAAAAGATGATTATAAAAAATATAATTATAAAGAGTTTAATTATATTTAATTTCTTTACTAAATTTTTAGTTATTAAGTTTTAAAAGATTATATATATAATTTTCTAGAATATAAGCTTCAATAATAAATTATTTATATATATAATTTCTTTGAAACTTAATATTTCAAGATTTAATAAAGAAAATCAAGTATATTATGTATTAGATAGTAAATATTTTATTAAATTAGAGATTGATATGACTAAAAGATCAATTAAAGCAAGTAATCTTGATTTGAAAAACTTTATTTTAGTAATATAACTTTAATTTATATATAATTTATATTTATTATATTTTTAAATTTATATTATAAAAAATTTTATTTAAAGTATAATATATTTAATATAGAATTATTTTTATATTAATATAAAAATATAATATGAAACTAATTTATATTAAATTTATTATGAAATTCAAGAATTATAATATAATTAGAAGTATTTTAAAAAAAGAACAAAAAGAAAAAATTATTTCTTATATTTTCAAAATTAATATATATAATTTATCAAGAAAAATAAAAAGTAATAAAATAATAAATGAATCTTAATTCTAATCTATAATAAATTAAGAAAGAAATAAAAAGTATCAGAATAGCTTAAATAAATTTTAAAATAATTCAAGTTTTTTACTTTAATTTTTTTAATTTTAACTTTTAATCAAGTTTATTTCTTGTTTCTTTAGCTTTTTTTTGTTATCAAATTAATTAAATATAATTAAATCTTTTTATAGTTATATTTTTTTATAATTATCTTATTTTATAATTATCTTTTTTAAATTTTTTAATTATTAATTAACTCTAATTAAAAAATTTCTTTATAATTATATCTCTTTTTAGTTATTTAATTTTATTTTTTTAAGTATAATAATTATAGAAAGATTTAACTATATTATTTAAAATACTTCTTTTTATTTTCAAATTATTTTTTTTAAATAATTTTAATTATTATAAAAAATTATTTAAGTAAGATTACTCTTATTAAATAACTTATATTTATCATTCTTTATTTTTTTATTTTTTTTTATTTTTTATATTTATTAAACTATTTTATTATATTATTACTTTTTTTAATAAGTAATAATATAAAGAATTAATTTTTCAAGAAAATATAAACTTATTTTAATTATTATCATATATAAATTTTTTTAACTTTATTAACTTTTAGTAATATTTTTATATAATTTCTCATTTTTATTTTTTTTATTAAAAAGTTATATTTTTATTTTCTAATTTTTTGTATAATATTTAATAATATTAATCTTAATATAATTATTATTATCTTTATAATTATTTATAATAGTTTATTACTATTTTTTTATCTTTTATTTTTTAAAATTATTTTTTTTAAAATATTATTATATTTAATTTTATATAAAACTTGTACTTTAATAATATATTTTAAATTAAAAGTAAAATAATAATTTATTTTATCTTATTTATTAATATAGATTATTATAAAAAGATTAATATATTAATATAAAAATTAATAATTACTTTTAATAAAAATTATTTAAATTTTAATTAATCTTTATAATTTTTTTATATTAAATAAAAAATAATCTAAATTTATTTTTAATTATTTTATTATATTTTAATTTCATTAGTAAATTTGATAGATATCAGATCAGTAATGATCAGTAAATATGCTAATCATTACTAATTTTTTGATTACATCAATTCAAAATTTGCGTAAAACTCTAAAAATAAAAATTTTGAAAAAGTGTAATCCAAAAAAACTGTAATGATTAGTATAATTACAGATCATTACAGTTCTTTGGACAAAAATTAAATAGATAAATAATAAAAGATCAATTATATGTATTGTTACCATTTTTGGTGCCCCTTGAAAAGGTTATTTCGTGGTAGGTTAATAGCTTTATATATAATATTTGGCCAAGA